GTATGTTATACTATTTGATATGAAGATGAATTTTTACTTAATAAGCAAATGCGGTTAGGTTAATAAAATTTTTATTTATTTTCATGTTTCTTTATTCAATTATTTCTGATGATCTGCAAGTGTCCTTATATTTATGACCAGGAAGTGTACATCCTGGTTTTCAATATAGGGTCGATTTATTACTACTTTTTTGGAGCGTGAAAACACTGATACGCATGCTTGAATCACTTGATTTTGCAATAAATGTCATTAGTCAATATATTACCTTGCTTGTAAGGAAAGAAAAAAGTTGCATATAGTGAAGCGTTTAAAAATATTAACCTAGAATAGGGGTGTACATTATGGCGCTTTTGGTCGCGCAATTCCTCCAATGTAAACTCGCGTTTATTTTTAATCTTGTATTGGCTCCAGGAAATTTTTTCATCGTGAATTACGTAAGCAATGTAATAATTACCATGACATAATTTTATCTCAGAAAAGTTTCCTGATGTTTATAGAAAATTATTAATATAAAAATAAAGAATCGTTTGTGTTTGCATTTACGTACCCGCGCTTAAAAAGAAAATTTGTTATAAGATGACCTGAATAAACAATGTATAGCACGATGACAGTGTACGTACGTTTTTGTCAATTGATTATTCGGATTTTGTTGCCAATAAACATAAACCAGTTCTATGGGCGAACCCTTACTTCATTATTCGCTATAAGCAGTTACAGTATCTCTTCTTCAAAGGATCTATTCTTTCTCTATTCAACCAAGATTACATGGTTCCACTTCTGGGTATATCACGCTTGAGAATAGAATTAAACGCAAGGCTGTTGAAAACAAAAATCGAGTTTCTTGAATTTTATTTTCTGGGTATCCTGGATCATTCATATGACAACCAAACATGATTTTGATTATCTTTTTTGGGATACGCTTGTAACAATAGCAGCATTGTTTAGACAGAATCATTCTGGCCAATCTGGTTTTACGCTCTAAACATCCTTGCAAACATTAACTATCGTGTTAAATTAGCCCATAAATTTCTACTTTGCCGAAGGATGTGTATTTTGGTTCTATTTTTATCATTTACTTTACTGACGAGGTGCCTGGTAATTTTCTGTTCAACAGCGATGATTAAATGTAGACAACAAATGGTAGATTGAAAATCAAGTAGAAGGTTGTTAAGACGCTTCTAGGAGCAACCTTTTGCTGAAGTTAATCTTCATTTATTATCAGTATTTCATTAAACGACCTCATTTTATTCTTTAATGTAAAATTCTACTTTCTTTTTTGCGTAACACACTGGGTTATTGTATAGAAACTATATGTATAATAAAAATTTTTATTCGTGTCGTTGTAATAAACAAGAATCATAATTAGAAAGTTCAATAAAAAAACCCCCATTATAAACATCCACACTAAATGAATTTTTCGTTTCAACCCTCAACTTTACTCTCAACCTCCCCTTTCTCAACCTTCCATTTCAGCTTTCTTCCTCTCAGCACCCCACCCCCTCAACATTTCGATAACAGGGAATTAAAATTTTCATCCACTTTATCCGCGAAAAAAGCATACACAATTGCATATCGTAAACCGAACACCCATCTTAGGTGAAGATGTTGTTGCCGAGAAGATCAATGGTACAGATGTGCAGTCCTTTGATGATGATGCACGCATCTGGACTTTTCAAAAAATTGGATCTATAGTTAAACGATTCAATTGGTGACACCACTTAGTTATGCTCTGTAGTTATATCAATGTGGATAACACATTATTAGATCTGAGCCCTCACTCAATATTTCGGATTTAACCTTTAACATCGACAGATTAATGAACTGCCGTTTATATTGATCTCTAATTTTCACATTTGGAGGAACTCAATGTTAAATTTACAAAATATATCTTAAACAAAAAAAAATCCAATGTTTTCCTGTTATTTTCATCTTAATAAATTAATGAATTGTCAATAAAGTTTATTTTAATTATGACCTTTTTAAGACAATTGTAATATAAGTGATTTATAATTTATTAATAATTCTATATTAATAGTACCATTAATTAAAACAAGAAAATAATAAATTTTATTGACAATAAATTTATATAGGTAATTCAAATGAGACATCGATATTTGCATTGCGTGCAAGTTGGACAATTTTTGATAACTGTACAGATTTGGTTGCTGCTTCATCAAGATCATCCACAGAAATTATACGCAAACCAGATTCTGAAATCAATTTTCTTGCTGCCTCCACTTCGGTGCCTGTTAATTAATATTTTAATACAATACAATTAATCAAACACATATATACATATAAAATTAAAAATCCAATGCATGTAGAAACTAATTATTACCTTGTAGCCTTACTATTACAGGTATCGATAAAGACAAGTGTGTTGCTGCTTGAATGATACCTTTAGCAACAATATCACATCGCATAATACCTCCGAAAATATTTACCAAAATTGCTGTGACTTGTGGATCTGATGAAATAATTTTGAATGCCTCAGTCACTTGTTCAGATGTAGCACCACCACCAACATCCAAGAAATTAGCTGGTTCGCCACCATGAAGCTTAATAATATCCATAGTTGACATTGCCAAACCCGCTCCATTTACTAAATTATTCAAAAAAAATATAATTATATATATATTTGTAATAAGGACATTATTAGGTTTATAAACATTGGCATGTTTTTTTTTTGTGTTTTTTAAAGGAAATTTGAAAGATATAAGATATTGTCACTAGTAGTGTGTGTGCGTGTCCTCCCTATTTTCACTAATCCAATTAATTTTAAATTTCTGGCAATTAATTTACGCGAGATTGATCAAGCCAACATTTTTTGCATATTGTGCACTAGGACTAAATCCAATCTTCAATATCATCTACAGAAATGCGGTCCCGTTTACTTCGTCGAAAATTATTTCGTCGACAATCATTTCGTCGACACCCATTTCGTCGAAAGTTCATTTTGTCGACAATCACTTCATCGACAATCATTTCGTCGAAAGTTCATTTTGTCGAAAGTTTATTTTGTCGAAGGTTCATTTCGTCGAAAATTATTTCGTCGACAGTCCATTTCGTCGGCTTATGTATCGTACTAATGATAAATGAGGTGATGATAGTGATGGTAACAATATCGACATTGAATATTTTAGTATTGATAATAATTATTGTTTTTTAGTAGAGTGTGTGGATCAGACAAATTGGTAATATTC